CATGGCATGGCAGAAGTCTGAGGTCATGGGTCACACTCCTTTCACAGCCAGGAAGCAGAGATAATACTACTGCCAAGCTTTCTTTCTCCTTCTCGTTCAGTCCAGGCTGTGTCAGCAGCCTCTCTCTTGGTCTATTGGCTTTCTCCCATGACTGCCATGATGGGGGCTTTGGAGATTGATTTGGGCCACAAGAAATGAATGAGTTTATATGAATCACTCACTAATTTTCCCCACAGGACAGAGAGCATGGCTGTGAAGCAAGCTGTTGAGAATTAGCACACATCCACTGTATTTCTGGTTTTAATTATAATTTTTATTATCTTTAAAAACATTTTATTATCTTTATTGAAAGCTTATAACATGATATTATGGGATACACGTAGAAGGTAAATGGGTCATATAATGAAGCAAAGTAACACACCATCACATGTAGCTGCTTTCTTTGGTGGCATGAGCTGCTAAAATCAACTATTTCATAATAACCTCTAATGCAATGCAATTCTATTAATTATAGTCCTTATGTTGTATTAGTCCTGTAGACTTAGTCATCCTTTGGCCTAAAATCTCCCCATGTTTCTCTCTTACTCATCTCTTGTCCCAGATCACTACAGTTTTTTCCTCTGGTTATTTTCCTAAAGATTCCTCACCTAAAGGCTGGGGAGATGCCTCAGAGGGTAACATTTCATGACCCGGGTTCAGGTCCTCACGGTGCGCAGAACAGTGGTTATGATGGCACACATGTGTAATCCCAGCATTCCCATGGCAAGATGGGAGGTGGAGACAGGGGGGTCCTGGGGGTGCAAAGGTCTACTCGTCAGGCCTACTCAGGGGCAAACAGGGGCCTGTCCCAGAAGAGGTGGAGAGGGAGGGCTCACGCCTGAGGCTGTCAGACCTGAGAGGCCGGGTTTCAGTCTGATATTTACCCTACAGCAGCTAACATAACACAGCCCCTTTTTCCTTGGTATCTAATAAACCCTGTCACCCCAGACTGTACCCTAGTGGGCATCAGGCCTGTCATCTTCTACCCACTTAACAGGTGAGTGAACTAGCACCGGTTAACACACACACACACACACACACACACACACACACACACACATACCACCCCCATCCATCAGTCCATCAGCAGCTGGTGCAAGGCTCCTGTGTGGAGATCATTTCCCCATCTCAGATCCTAGCTATGCACAGCCTGGCTGTCATGTGTCTTTTACTTTCCCCCCATTAAGTATGTGCTTTAATCACACAGATCAGACTCTTCCCTGATCTTCAGTGGTTAAATGTCAAAGGGAACCTATACTCCCAGGACAGCACTACTGATAGCAGTAGAGAAATGGAAACATCCCAAGTGTTCATAAACTGACGGACACAGAAGATGCGGTACAGATACCCAATGAGGCCCTGCTCAGCCATTAAAGGAGGGAAACCCTGTCATGTTCATTCGGCAGCATGGATGAAAGTGAGGGTCTTTATCTTGAAACAAGCCAGGCTGGGTGTGGTGGCTGCCTCTTGCAATACCAGTGCTGCGAAGGTGGAGACATACAGATCCCTCGGGATCACTGGCCAGCCTTCCTAGTCTAGTGTCAAGTTGTAGGCCTGTGACAGCCGCTGTATCCCTAAAATGCCATGAATGGTGCCTGAGGAATGACAGTGGTGGTTGTCCCTGGGCTTCTACACACATGTATGAACACACACATGCACACACACACACACACACACACACACCTTCGTGTACAACCAGACAAAGCAAAGAACTCAAGGACCAGGACACTGGTAAGATGGTGGCCATGCTTTGTTGCAGGTTTTTATTCGGTCGTTTACACTCACAATAAAATGGTTCATCTTCATTGTCAAGTTGATCGCATCTAGGAATGCCTAGGACACCAGTGAAGCACTCTTTGTGTATCTACGATGACATCGCCAGACTATTAGATCACAAGGGCTCTAACCTAATTAGTGGTTTATTTTTTCCCCATGAATTCACAATATAATAGTATTATTGAGAGGAAGCGAAAGCCAGGACGTGGGATGTACTTAGAGGAAGCAGGTTTCTGGGAACAGCCACCTTGAAGTTCCACTTTACCTGGCCTCAGAACAGCAGAGCCAGCCCCGGGAGACGAAGTGTCCTGTGATCACAAGCCAGCATCAATGCTTCCTCTTCTAAGTTGCTTGAGCTGGGTGTTTTGTCACCTGGTAACCAACGCAGAATAATGAAACAAGTCTTATTATAGGGTTGAGAAGCGCGGCTCAGGGTTTAGATGAATAGATTAGCACATATAGCTAATAAGTAACAGATGGGATTTGAACTAGGCTAACCTGACACACACTGGGGCTCAGTGCAGGACAAAGGTTTATAGAGTTTCAAATGCCTGTTAGCCCCTGAGCAAGCCCTGCACGTGTTCTTTATATACTCAGATGCCGACTCCAACAGACTCCTAAACCCTTGCTGAAAGCAATTTAAATAAAGTGCCTGGATGTAAGGTAAGATATTTAATTTAAAACACTAAGATGCAGGAGTTTACGTGTTGCTTTAAATGGTGCTGAGTTAGAAATGACCCAAGTAATTTTGAGGCTGGGCATTTTATAGAACCAAGAAACAGTTATTTCTTGAGTTGGCATGGGATTATGCTTGAACTGGCAGTTGGGCAAACATGAAGAATGAAAACTATCTTCCCTGCTCTTCCCCAGGCATGTAAACACAGCTTGGGGAGTTCAAATGCAGGCAAAGAATCTTAGTACCCAGGGGCTGAGGAAGAGTTCTGCATGGAAAATGCTCACAACAGAAAAATTCGCCTGAGAGCCTAATAATTTACCAGAATCAGAAAGTTCTAGAAGTGTTCAGAGTAGGTCAAAGGAAATGGGAACAGGGATCACACTTATTGAGCACATAGACTTTAAAGCCTCCTTTATTTTTATTTCATTTTATTGTTGTCATTACTATTATTAGTGTGTGTGTGTGTGTGTGCTTGCGTGTGATGCCCTGTGAGTATGAGCTTGCCCTGGCATGAATGTGGAGGTCAGAGGGCACACTTCAACCAACTCTTGGCCATGACGGGTTCTAGGGTCGGAGCTCCAGTCTTCGGACTTTGACCGAAAGTGCTGTCACCCCTTGAGCCATCCTGTTGTGTAGACAGCTGGTGCTTCAGGTGGTCTGGCCAGTGGACTGTAACAGCCAGTGGATTTGTATGGAGGCGGCAAAAGCATGCTTAAGTCTTTGGTCACTACACGCTGACAGACACGCCTCGCTGAAGACTTGGAGAAGCAAAGGAAGTACCCGCCATTGAAGCCATTGTTAATGCCACTGGGAACCAGAGAGGACAATCAGAGAAAACGAATGACATGTAGGAAAAGAGTGGGCAGGGTCAGAGCCGACAGCAAGCAGCGTGTCCCCATCGCCGTGCAGCCGTCAATACGACGCATGCCGGTGGGTCCTCCTGACACCTCTGTGACCTTCTGTTGGTATTTCGTTCACTCTCCAGCTACATGGAGAGCTGGAGGAAGAGAAGCGGGAGTCATTTGTGCTTTGTTTAAATTACGGGGAGGGAAAGCGGCAGATGATATGTCTACAGCCCCCTGAGAGGTGGGAAATGTCCCCAACATGTTTTCCTTCCTAGAACAGAGTAGGTTTGGGGTGGGAGGTATCTTCATTTTGTTGTAAGATTTACTTTCTTTTTAAAGGATGTATCTGTAACTGTGTGGAGGTCTGTGTCTGTACGTCCGGTGCCAACTCTCCCCGAACTGGATTTGTAGCTGTGAGCTTCCTGCAGGAGTAGAGTGCTGGGAACTGAACTCACGTCCTCCACAACAGCAGCAAGCTTCTCATTTAGGAGCCTCTCTCCAGCAGCAAGGGCAATCTTTATTCTAACTGCTCCGTGTTAGGTTCCACTCTGGGAGCTGCCTGCGCGTGGGGGGCGTTGAGTGGTCCTCCTAAGAAAAGTATAGTGATGTCGGGAGGAAGATGGTCATTGTGTTTGATGACCAAGTGCAGCATCATCTCAAGTTTCACTTTCTCCTTGCTGGAAGGTGCTAGAAAAAGACTGTATGGCACACACTAGCCAGTGCGGACCGTCCAGAGCGCTGCTCAGAGCTGAACAAAAGGAACTGTGGTCTGGGACGTTGGTTTGATGATGACTAAGCAGGCTGGTTTTGGAGGCAGCACACTTTCTTCTTTGTCCTTGTACAGGATGCTTAAACAAGTAGAGCAGGCAGCCGCTAGGAGGTACCCGAGCTTTTCTGTCTTCTGCCTGGGCAAGCAGAAATGGCTTACAGTGAGTCCTTCCACTAGGCGGGTCCAGGCGGGTGGCACTTTTCCAAGGTCGCGGTTGTGATAAGCTTGCCATTGCAGTCTTTTAAGAATAAACATATTTTTAATCTACAGAGGCAGAGGAGGCGTTATCTCCCCCCCCCCCCCAAGGTCTGCTGGCTGGGACACCAGCCACAGGCAAAGGTGGATGCAGCTCTGCTCTCTGCAGGGTGGAGGCGAGGTGGAGGACCCCAGTATGCAGGCACCTCCCCTCGTGCCCGCCAGCATCAGAGTGTATGTGTGTGTGTGTGTGTGTGTGTGTGTGTGAGAGAGAGAGAGAGAGAGAGAGAGAGAGAGATGAGCGCGCGCGCGTGTATGTGTGCACGTGTGTATGTGCGCGCGTGCGTGTGCGTGCATGGAATCATAGCTTGCAGACAGGCTGATCTGGTTAAGGAAGCTCAGGAAGGAATAAATCTTCACCAGCCTCCTCGTTGCTCGTTTATAACCAATCAGTTGCTTTGAAAGGCAAGGGTGACAGCAGTGCCGGGCGTGCTGGCTTCGGGTCCCCAGTCTGAGACAGATATATGTGCGTGTGCATGCATGCGCCAGAGGGGCCGTTGTTCTTATTGTCTGCCTCTCTCCGCAGAGAACAAGGGCAGTGGCGAGGGGCCTGCGCCCTGGGCTAGTGTTGCGGCCCCGGCCCCGAGCGGGTCGCCGGAGGCTATTTCGCGGGTGGGGGAGGGCGGGGGAGACCTTGATTTCCACCAATCCCGGGGCGCGTGTCTGCGGAGTCCAGGGCGCAGCGGAAGGCTGCGGCGCCACTGAATGAACTGATGAGAGCGAGTTCTCAGCTTGCCCGGGAGGGGAGCGGAGCGAGGGTCCCGGCGGGCACAGCAGAGGAGCCGGGGGCGGGCTAGCGGTCCCGGGCCGCGGTGGAAATTTCCAAGGACTTGGCGCGGCGGCGGCGGGGAGAGCACGTCTGGGGGGGTGCCCGGCACCGCGGCGGCGCAGGAGGCGGGGAAAGGGCGGTGCAGGGCGCAGGAGCATCTTTCTTTCTGGAAGGGACACAGCGGGTCAGATGTCCCAGAGCCAGCCGCACCTCTTCCAGGACCCCAGCCTAGGGCGCCTGTGATGTTGCAGTAAGGGCGGTAGCAGCTGGACTCGCACCTTTCACCCAGACCCCTCCGGCGCCTGCCTCTTCAGGGAAAAGCGACCATGGCTCGTGACTTGCCTGGAGGCCACTTCCCCTAGCAAGAAATCCGTGGGAAAAGTTGCATTGGCGAAGATCCTTGTAGCTGACCTCTGGGGCCGTGGTGGGGGTTCCCAAGCCTTGCTTGAGTGCCGGTGTGTGCGAGGAAGCCAAAGGTGTGTGCATGGGGGGCCGGCCGCGGGGGCACCCACCCCTGCCACTTAGCCTGGCATTGTACTGAGGCTCCCACCACCGACCCTGGGACGCTGAGGCTGTGATGAGCCCCTGCGGGCGGGCCCGGCGACACACGTCCAGAGGGGCCATGGCCATGCTGGCATGGAAGTTCCCGCGTACCCGGCTACCGGTGGGAGCCAGTGCCCTGTGTGTGGTGGTCCTCTGTTGGCTCTACGTCTTCCCTGTCTACCGGCTACCCAACGAGAAGGAGATCGTACAAGGGGTGCTGGCACAGCGCACGGCTTGGAGGAGGAACCAGACGGCTGCCAGGCTCTTCAGGTACCCATTGCTACACATTGCGCCCTCCAGCATCCTTTCCTGCTGGTGTGCTGAGGACAGGGTCGCCCTCGAGACTTCCATGTCCTTGCTCACTCTGTGCCATGCCCAACCCAGAGTCTTAAGTTAGGGTCTCTGCCCCATCCCTTACCCCAGGAGATGTATCAAACACCTCTGCTTAAGCAAAGACGTGTTACCCCCCCCCCACCCCGTTCTATTGCAATTGGCCCATCTCTGGTGGGAAGACCCAGGGCAACTTAATTCCTGCTACTTTCAGAGAATTTATTTCTTGGACTCTGCAGATGTTTGGTGCTAAGAAGTAGTAAGCTAGAAAGAAGTAGGTTAAGAGGAGTTTGGGGGCAAATGGTAACATACTCAAACACGCAGGAATTACGGGCAAGCTTCGGGTCAGGAAAATCTGAAAACTAGCGATGTTGTGCGCGCGCGCCCTCGCACCCCAGCGGCTTTGTGCGGTATGACCATAGAGAGTCCGGAGCGCACAGCCACGATCGGAACCGCGTGATTTTTGTATTTGAAATTTCGACAACTTTTTGATGACATATTTTCTCTTCTGACCAATTCTTTGGTAGAACTAGTTACTCGCGCAAGGTCGTTCATTATCTAAGCCGAAGTGCGGGCGCTAGACTCCCTATTACCTTAATGCTCCGAAGCGCTGGCTTCTTTTTTCTTAGTTTAGGCTCAGAAATGTTTCTGAGGGAAGGGCTTGACATCAGAAAACAAACAAAACCCAAGACCGGGTTTGAAGGAGGGAGCTGGTAGCTTCCTCTCTTGGGGGAGGTGTTAATTTAAGGAGCGGATTGCAGCCCGGCTGGGTAGTTACACTGGAGTGGAGATAAAATCTCTTTGCACACTACCACCGGCTTGCTGGGGGAGCTGATAGGGAAGACCAACCGACCAACCCAACTGGTTCAAAGATCGCCAGTAATGCCTTCTCTCCTCAGCCCCTGGAGCCGAGATGTTGCCTTGCTGGCTTCTTCAGAGAGTAGTCTGAGAGAGAAGTTGACAGACAGGCAAGTGCCTTTCCCTCTGATATGAGCTAAAATAAAAAATTTAAAAACAAACAATTTCCCTCCGTAGGCCCACTTCTGGAAAGGCCAGAGGTTAAAGGGTTCTTCCAGGATCTGAAGGCAACTGACATTCTCTTTCAAATTTAGAGGGAACATCTATCTCTTTCCAACCCCTTACCCTGTTTCTTCACTCTGTCATCGCTAGTTTTAAAAAAAATTCTGCAAAGCCTCCAAAGCCACAGAGAAACCCTGTCTCGAAAAAACCAAAAAAAAAATAATAATTCTGTGAAAGTACACAAAGATGAATTTACTTTCACCATTACAATGTTGACCTTTGGGCTCTGAGGCAGGTGGGATGTATACCACCCAGTGGCTCCTTACCGACCTAAGACACTTTTCTGTTCAAGAAATGCATAGAAAGGAGTTAAGAACTTTCCGTCTACTTGCAGTGAAAGACCCTGATGCATATAATGCCTTGTGTAGGGAAAAGGGTCCAGTCAAAGAAACACACCCTGAGCAGAGCCAAAGAAGATTGCTTTGACCCTGCAACCAGAACCAAAGAAATGCACCCTGACCCTGAAACCAGTGTCAAAGAAACACACTTTGTCCCTGGAATCAGAGCCAGTGAAAGAAATGCACCCTGGCTCTTAATCTAGAACCAAAAGGCTCAGAGAAAGAAACACACTTTGGCCCTGAAACCAGAGTCAAATCTGACCTTAACCCTGTGCAGAAAACTACCAATCCTCGAGCAGGAGATCTATCCATCCTTGTCCATCCCATCTGATTCTCCCCAATGCTTACACCTTGTTAGAACACACACACACACACACACACACACACACACACACACACACACCTTATTAGAAAATAGGTTTCTTTGAGAGGACTCAGTCAAGTGCAAAAGGTTTCATGGTGTGATAAACTCAGGTACATGGTTTCTGAGACACACTCGCTCGTCACCATCTTTAACCTGGGGTGATTTTTCATTCTTTAACTCACTTTCTGTGTGCAGAGAATGAAGGCCTCATAGCATCTAATGTGCCTAAGCACACACCCCTCAAAGCCAGAGCTTTTAAAACTGTGCAAAAAGCATTTACTTCGTTGAGAAACTTAAACTTCTAGAGTTCGGAGTTTTGTCACAGCCAGCCCCAGAGCACAGCCTCTTCAGCAAATTACTTAACTCTTGTGATCTCGACTTTCTTATTCATAAAATGCAGACAATAATATCTCCTTCCCAGGGTTGCGCTATGGTATAAATTGAAAAGAGGGTAGCCAGTGTCTGGTACATTGTGTTTCCAGGGAATGGTGAGTCTGTGGTTATCATACACTAACTTCCTGCATATGTTACCACTTTAGGGAGAACATCTGACCTGCCTGGAGGAGTTCTGAATGTGTCACCTGTCACATTTATAGACATATTTGTCCATGCTTCCCTCCTTGCTCTAATTGATTAAATTAATAAACAGTGGCAAAAGGTTTAGAAAGACTTGAGAAATTTTACCTTTTTTGTTAAAACTATTTTTTGCATTGAACACTTAAAATACCTAATTTTTAAAAAAACATCTGCAGTATTAGTTGATGGGTAGGGGTGTGTGTTTGTGACAGACAGGTGAGCCAGAGGCATTTCTGGCATTAAAGAGTCCCCACTTTGTCAATCACGCACCTTTGTTATTCTAGTCGTAAACATCTTCATAGATACACAGACGTGCATACATATAGACAGTGGCGTATTTCTGTGAGGAGACAGACACAAGCTCGCTGATGAACCTGAGGTAGGATCATATATATATATATATATATGTGTATACGTAGAGAGAGATGTATGTGTAATCATGCATTTGTAGTCACTTAGCCAATACCCAGTGCAGGACTGCTGTCTACCTTATATGGTTCAGGCCCACAGGACCCTAATGCATGGAGCAGATGAGCTGACCTCTCATTAAGGGACACAGGACAAAGCAAATAAGTAAACATTCGAGTGGCACAGGAAGAGGACCTCCCGGGGTTACCAGCCCTGTCTCAGATGCTCTTTCATATGCCAGACCCCACCACCGGTTTTTCTGATTCACTTTTCCTGCCCCAGAACCTGTGGGTCAACTTTCTGATGTGGGCCTTGTCAAGCAGCCTAGGAAACAGCAGCCTAGCAACCCAGAGCTGTGGAAGTTGTGAACTAAGCAGGGGACACCCCAGGCTCTCACATGGTGGTGGATTAGCCAGCCTCATTCTGGAAGCCCATACTCCTTCCTCCTGCCCCTTTGCGCAGACTGCTCACAGCTAGAGGAGTACTTGTGTCTCCCAGAGCTCCTCATCCAATCCATTTGCTCTTCAGAAATGAGCCCCCATCCAGGACTTCTGTGTAAGGACAACAGTGACACTGTAGCCAGACTAACCAAGCAGTGTCAGCTCTGTGAGTTCCTACTATGTGTTGTCTTCCGAAAGGATTTACTTACTCTTGGTTTGTGAGTAAAATTGCTTTTGTCCACGGAGGCCAGAGGAAGGCGCTGGGTCTTCTGGGATGGAGCTGTAGATGGTTGGGAGTCGGGCGCTGGGTACTGAACCGGGGGCCTCGGTAAGAGAGGCAAGTGCTCTTAGCTGCTTAGCTGTCTTTTCGGCATCCTTCCCTGCTTTGCCAACTTCAGTTCCCTTGAGAAACTCGTATGAATGGGCAAAGATGAGTGCCTCTGGGCTCCTGAAACAGAAGATCTTTCTGGACTCCTGTGGGAGGATATGGATGGGAACAACTAGAGGTTGAGGCACCCTAGAAAGGTAGCATGCCTGGGAGACACTGGGAATGGTCCAAATGTGGCTGTGGCCCTTCTGACTCGTGACTGATTGGCGAGGCCAGCAGCTCTCAGAGCTTCCTTCTCTGACTTGCGAAGTAAGACGTGTGAGATTCTGTAAGGGCTATCATGAAGTGAGAGTGTCCTCGCAACACTGGCCGCCTCCCTGCATGACTCTGGGGCGTGGCAACAGAAACATAACCAGGCACTGGGGTGCTCACAAAACTTACTAGTTGTGCTTCAAGTGGGGGGAGGGAACTTGGGTTTCATAGAGGAGATGGGGTTTGTCATAAGCCTTGAAGGAGGGTAAAATGGGGTGGTGCGTGGAAGGCTGTTTTTAGCAGAGATGGAAATGTGTGATTGCTGTGTGGGAGGTTCTCAGGCTAGTAGTGGAGACTCAGGAGACAGGTTGGCCTGGAGGTCAGTGGAAGCCTGGTTCCAATCTCCGAATGCCTTTAAGGCTGTTCCTTTTGTGACAGGAACTAACAGTATTACTCCCATTAAAGAATTTAGGGGACAGAGATTGCGTTAATACATCAGAATGTCTGTGTGCACGTACACAAATGCAAAGCAAGTGTGTGGGTGCACGTGCACATGTGTGTACATGCATGTAGATGCCAGAAGTGAACCTCAGGTGTCATTCTGGAAACACCATCTACCTTGTTTTTTGTTTGTTTGTTTGCTTGTTTTTGTTTTATTATTGTTGTTGTTGTTTGAGACAGGCTCTCTCCCTGAGTCTGGAGCTCACTAAGTAGGCAATGCTGGGCATTGAGCAACAGGAACCCTCCTCTGTGTGCCTCCCCAGCCATGGAGGCTCAAAACTTTAGACATTGCCACACTGTCCTGTGAGAAGGGTGCAGCTGTCAGTGCATAGCATGCACACCGCATGTCTGTCATGTTAAGGCATGCAGACTGAATGTCTGTCATGTTAAAGCATGCAGACTGAATGTCTGTCATGTTAAGGCATGCAGACTGAATGTCTGTCATGGTAAGTCATGCACACTGCATGTCTCTCATGGTAAGGCATGCACACTGAATGTCTGTCATGTTAAGGCATGCACACTGAATGTCATGGTAAGTCATGCACACTGAATGTCTGTCATGGTAAGGCATGCACACTGAATGTCTGTCATGTTAAGGCATGCAGACTGCATGTCTGTCATGTTAAAGGATTATGGAATCAGCTTTGAAAAAG